GCAAAGGCTACAGGAAAGTACAGAAACTGGTATAACGTAGTCAGACATGATGGCAAACCTTCTCAAAGTGTGGATCTGGAAAAAGTTGAATTTGAAATTCTAAATGAGACACCGGAAGAAACTGAGGAAGCATACGCTGTAATGATTCCAAGAAGAGATCAAAACACACAGGATTGTTTTGATGCCAAGACAGCAGAATTAGCTAAACTCAAAGAATTCCAGACATATGATGAAGTAGAAGACCTAGGCCAAGATTACATTTCTTCTACTTGGGTGATAACTGACAAAGGTGGAGCTAAGAGAGCTAGACTTGTCGCCAGAGGTTTTGAGGAAGAAGGAGAAATTCAATCTGACTCTCCTACTCTATCTAAAGCTGGAATGAGGACATTCCTTGCTAGTGCTGCGTCTAAGGAATGGACAGTGGAAACAACAGATATAAAGAGTGCCTTTCTTCAAGGCAGTACAGTGGAAAGGACTATTTTTCTGAAACCTCCTAAGGAAGAAGGTTGCAATGGCAAATTGTGGAAACTCAAAAAGGCACTGTATGGCTTGAAAGACGCTGGTAGGCAGTGGTTTTTTAAAGTGAAGGAGGAACTGATCAAACTCGGATGTTTTCAGTCAGATCTAGATCCTGGGATGTTCTTTTGGAAGAACTCAGCAGGAGATGTTACTGGAATGATAGGCCTCCATGTTGATGATTTTCTCCACTCTGGAGGAGCAGAGTTTAACAATGCTGTCATAAGGAAGATCCATACAGTTTTCCAGGTAGGGAAAAATGAAAAAGGTCAGTTTATGTACACTGGATTTCAGATCAAACAAGATTCAGAAGGTATAATGATTGACCAAAATCAGTACCTTGAAAATCTAGAGGTTGAAGACATAAATCCAGCTAGAGTCAGACATAAAAATGATGACCTGGATGAAAATGAGAAAACCAAGATAAGGAAGATGGCAGGTTCATTGAACTGGATTGTCAGAGGAACAAGACCAGATAAAAGTTTTGAACTTATTGATGCCAGTACTAAGTTCCAAACAGGAAAAATTGAGGATCTTGTCAGACTAAGGAAGACCCTAGTATCCATGAAAGAAAACAAAGCTGAGATTTATTTCCCTAATCTGGGAGATCCTGTTGGCTGGACCCTTGTCTGTTTTACTGATGCTGCTCTTGGTAACCTCAACAATGGAAAAGATAGTACTGGAGGACACATTGTTTTACTGATGAATACTCGAACAAATATGTGTTCAGTATTAGACTGGCAGTCTAATAAAATCAAGAGAGTTGTAAGATCTACTTTAGCAGCTGAAGCCCTGAGTCTTTGTGATGGTTTAGAAAATGCTATTTTTCTCAGAGATGTTCTTGCAGAAGTATGGAATACACCTGAAAAGATAAAAATTCTTGGAGTTGTAGACAATATGTCAGTAGTGGATGCTATCTCATCAACTACAAGTGTTGCTGATAAAAGGTTGAGAAGAGAGATTAGCGCCATCAAGGAAATGCTCTCTGGTAATGAGGTCACTTCCATCAAGTGGGTGCCTGGAAAGCTTCAATTAGCAGATGTATTGACAAAGCGAGGAGTAAATGATGCAAGTCTACTACAGGTTGTTCAGGAAGGGTCTTATAATTTTGACCTATTGAATGCCTAATCTGTTTCTGCACAAAGAATCGTTAAGTACAGCATCTATTTCTTATGCTCAAGTCTATGATCAAAGGGACTGTTTTTTTTTCTTTCTTTTTTTTCATTTTTAACTGTGTGACAATTTAGTGCTGACCATAGCACCTATTTTTATTTTCCTGTAACCAGAGTTCTGTTCAAAGAATTCTGATATATTTTATTATAATGTTTCATATTTTATTTTTTTTGGTTTCTTTTTAGAAAGAATGCCTAGAATACAGAGGATTCAGATTGCAAATGCTGGAGCTTCTGTCAGACATGTTGTCATTGGACATTCACAAGTGAGAGGCTGCTGGGATCAAGAATTCAAGGAGGAATATTTAAATTTTCCTACAGATTGGATCTGTGTCTCTGGGGGCAAGTTGCCAGAGTTGAAGATGATGATTAAAGAAGAGATAAGGAATGCTCATATTCCTTTGTGTGTGACTGGTATCATCTGGCAAAACTCTCTCCCTGATTTACCAATCCAGTCTGTGCTGAACACTATCACAGAATTAGAGGAATTCCTAAAAGAGTTCCCAGAGCACAAGGTAGCTTTACCTGAATGTCTGTTTGTGCCTAAGTATCATTATTTGTTTGAACACATTGCCCGAGTGAATCTTATCCTGGCTGATTACAACAAGCGGCACGGATTTAGTAAATATTCACTCTACAAGTCCACTCTGAGAGGAGGAAAAGGGAAACTAGTTGTTGTGCATGAAGAATATACAGAGTTCTTGCAGAGTGAAGGACCAGGATATCATATTGACAACAAAGAGAAGTACACAAAGTTCATTAAAAAGTTTCATTTTCATGGCTTTGGATCAACTAGGAATGATGAAACTCTACCAACAGTTCTGACCAAAGAACTAGTTGCTAATATGCCTATTTTTATCCCTGTTATGAACCCTTCTCCAGGGTTTATAGTTGATGCTAGGGATGTAATCAAAGGTAGAAGAAGTCTAGAGTCGGGACAGGAAGCTGAAACTCCCAGGAAAGATAATTCTGAGAAAAGTGTAAATTTAGTTAACAATGCAGAAAGTGATGAAGAGATTGAGTTCATCTGTGAAGTTAAAAGAGAGCAAGAAGTTCAGAAGGATGACCAAATCCCTCTAGAGTATGCTGAAAAAATTGCTGACCAAAGCGAAGGGTTTCAAATAACTTTAGATAACTCCAATACTTCTGCTGAAAATAAGATGTGGAAAGAAAGGCAGGAAAAGTTATGGTTAGAAGAAGGAACCTCTAAAGGATATACAGAGCAACTGCGAAAAACAGAGAGGAAGGCAATCTGGGGTAGAATGTACGAGAAAGCAAGAAAAGTAATGCAGAAGAAGAAGGAAAGGAAGAGCAGAAAGAGAAAGTTGAAGAGAAAGAGGAGGGAGGTGGAATCTAGTTCCTCAAGTAGTTCATCTACTAGTTCATCAAGTAGTTCATCTTCTACATCCTCAACTGATAGTGAAGAGGAGAAGAAGGGGAAGAAAAAGTTGAAGAAAAGAAAATAGTATGAATGTTACTCTGTATATCTGTGCACCATAATACCAATGTGATTTCTATTTTGTGATTGTTTTACATAATCACAAGCAGGCAAAGTACTACTAATCTTTACTTCCAGATAAGAATGGTTGTCTGGGGGTTTTTGTTTACCCTGTGAAAACCTATATATGTTTTTTATTACAGACTAAGAATGGGGCTAAAGCATACAAGAGACTAATAAACAGTATACAGGCCAGTTTTATCAATGGTAGCAGAGCTACAGTGTTAAGATCTACGGACCTTGTTTGAAATACCTGACCATAGGTGTTTGTGTGTTAAACCTGATCAAAGGTTTTTTTTCGGCTATACTGAAGGTACAAATTTGTATCTTTCTCTAGCGTCAACCATAGGGTTGAATTGTGTGGTGTGCTTATCAAGGAGTACTTGATGTCCCTTAGTGATAACCTTTAGGGTTAAGTGTGAAACCAAGTGATTTTTTTTTAAAATGGCGACAAAAATTAACATACAACCCCCAGACCTGAACAATTGTAAGAGCTATGAAGCTTTTAAGCGAGAGATAAGTGCATGGGCAGATGTGACAGACCTCCCTAAACAGAAGCAAGGGAACTTTATTGTTCTGTCTCTCCCAAATAAATCCAAGTTTGGTGATGATATTAAGGAAAGGGTATTAGAAACTCTCTCTGAAGAAGATTTGAAAAGTGAAGATGGACTGTCCAAAGTGATTGGTTTTCTAGATCAAGAGTTAGGAAAGAATGCAGTTGATGACATTATTGAAAAATGGGAGGAGTTTGATAACTGCAAGAAACAAGACAATCAAACTGTAGAGGATTTTATGTCAGATTTTGAATCTAAATATAACAGAATCAAAGCATCAGGATCAAAACTACCGGAGGAAATACTTGCATACATGATCATGAAGAGAGGTGGATTGACCCATATGGAAAAGATGCTGATCATAGCACGAATCGATATGGAAGACAAGGCTAACTTGTTTAAGAATACAAAGATCAACATGAAAAATATTCATAACAAATTATATGAGTCTACGTTCAAAAATAGAACCGGCTGCTATTAATATTGAAAGAGATATTACAAAATGTCTTACTTGACACGGGTTCAAATTTATTCAATTTTAAGCTTCATACATATTTGCAATTGTTTTATTAAAATCCCCGAAATAAAAAGGGAAACCTGCTTTTCCGGTATAAAATGTTACTTTTTTTTGCCACGGAGTTAAAATGCGGGATGAAAATTCTCTCAAAATTGAATAAAACATAAAACGATCACGGATCAATAATTTTTACTTCAATCTAAAAAATTTGTCATTTGTACCAACATACATATTAACATAATATATGTTTTAATATTAACCATTATGGAATTAGTAATATTGAATTATATAAGATTATTTTTTATTAAATAATTACGGAAAAAAAACGATTAATTGATAAATTAATAAATATATTTAATAGTAAAGTAATCAAAGAATAATTGATGAAAAAGTTAATAAGCAATTGACAGGTTTAAGGAAGAATTGGACATTGGACAATGTATCACTTCAGTCAAGTTATTGATTTCATGATTAACTGATTATTTTTTTTAAATAATATTGATGCTGCTGAAATCATAAAATTATTTTTTTTTGCTCTATCAGTTAGGGATTATATTTAACAAGCTGAAAGACCCGACATTGCCCGTGGAAAAAAAATAACATTTTTTTAAAAAATAAAGCCTTGAGACACCCCCTGGCCACCCAGAAATGTCCACAAAAAAGTCAGCACATTCGGTCCAGCCGTTTGGCCGGCTATATAAATGTCTTTTTTAATATATTGAATAACTAAATTATTGCTCATTTTCATGCTTAATTAATTGTTTACTAGTATTATGAGTACTTCGATGGAGTTGGTGGATGTCTCTAGGGTGTACTGGAAGGAAATAGCAAAAAAATGCAACAAAGCAGTCGTCTTCATTGAAAATTCGGCGGCCGAAAGGTATGAAGGGATTGTTTATTTAGATTTTTTTGGCATAGGGTTTTGATCATTTTGCGGTCAGGTTGAAAAAGTAGAGTTTCTAATTCAACAAATGGGGTCTTTCTCTTAAGTGTATTTTCATAAAGGGTAACAATTTCTTATTGGTTAAAGGGACTGGCTAAGATAACAATACAAAGTGACCTGAGGCCGAATTTAAAGAATTTGAGCCGCGACTTAAAATTGTATTTAATTTTTCAAAGTTTAAGCCGGCGCACAATTGAAACCGATTTTTGGTGGATTTGAAACGCGGCTTAAATTCATTAAATTCGGTCAAGCTGCACACACGAAGATATTCACAAAAATATTTGAAATGTTTAGCTTACACTGGTGTGGAGGGCTGGCTCTGTTGAAGAATGCGGCTCATGTTAAAGAATTTTCAAGTTTTGAGTTTGCACCCACAGATCAAAAGAAAGCTGTTTTCATTGTGGGTAACCCGGCTCTACGCAGCTCAGAGAGAACTGTTAAAAACATTATTCAGAACAGTGATCTAGGTAATATTATAAATTGTAATAAATATAATTCGGCGATTACATTTTTAAAAGAAAATCAATTTTCATTTTATGTCCAGGACTAAAGCTAATCTGTAGCCTTTAAAAGTTAACCTACTTACCTTAGAATTTTAAACCAGACTAAGAACATTCCCGTGGTTCTCACGAGTTACCCAATTAAAATTTGAGAAAAATCGGTCAAAAGGTTCAAAAGCCATGATCAGACAAACACCAGAGATTCCTACTTAATATATATTGATAAATAATAAAATAGTAATTGTCGTCTTTGCATTGTCATGTTTATAAAAGATTCTGAGGGAAAAGAGAAAGGAAAAAAATATTTCAGAATACTGTATTCTGATAACATGGTGCCAACCCAATGTTCTGTCAATGTCCAAGTTTCCAAATAGAGATTTCAACGTTGACGACAAAAGGTGATTAATGTAATTGATAGAAATTACAATAATAATTTTGATGATAATTTAATAATCTAACAATGATCTGTGGAAATTCAATAATAATTTTGATGATAATTTAATAATCTAACATGATCTGTGGAAATTAAATAATAATTTTGATGATAATTTAATAATCTAACATTGATCTGTGGAAATTAAATAATAATTTTGATGATAATTTAATAATCAAACATTGATCTGCGGAAATTAAATAATAATTTTGATGCTAAATTAATAATCAAACATTGACCTGTAGAAATTAGATTATAATTTTGATAATAATTTAATAACTTAGCATTGATCTGTGGAAATTGAATAATAATTTTGATGATAATTTATTAATCTAACAATGATCTGAGGAAATTAAATAATAATTTTGATGCTAAATTAATAATCAAACATTGATCTGGGGAAATTAGATTATAATTTTGATGATAATTTAATAATCAAACATGATCTGTGGAAATTAGATTATAATTTTGATGATAATTTGATAATCTAACAATGATCTGTGGAAATTACAATAAGTTTGTGAGGAATAAAGTGAGAAATGAATGAAAATGAGAAAATTATAGAAAAAACGTGAAATTATATTTCTATTTTTGTTTAAATCTTGTCCAGTGTTCTGATTGAATAAATTCACTTATTAAAGATGTCTAATGATGATGTGAAAACAATTTTTTCTAAGCGACAGAGAAAACAATTTTCACAATGGTAACCAGAATTCTATTTATAACAAAATAAAACCCTCGGCGACAATCCGTAGAAGAAAATATCTAAAAAAGACGACATCTATTTCCATTTTTCTTGGTTACCTCTGTGTGAAGATGAGTTCTAATTTTATTATTATTTTTAGTGGTTTAGCGTGGCTAGAGGATAATCTGCTTGATTGGATGGGTAATAGGAACTATACTGCGGAGGTAATTTAGTAAATTAAAGAGACAATCCATCTACAGATCTGTTGCAAGCCGGTAATTCATTAAATTAAAGAGACAATCCATCTACAGATCTGTTGCAACCCGGTAATTCAGTAAATTAAAGAGACAATCCATCTACAGATCTGTTGCAAGCCAGTAATTTAGTAAATTAAAGGGACAATCCATCTAAATATCTGTTGCAAGCCCGTAATTCAGTAAATTAAAGGGACAATCCATCTAAAGATCTGTTGCAAGCCGGTAATTCAGTAAATTAAAGGGACATTCAATCTAAAGATCTGTTGCAAGCTGGTTATTCAGTAAATTAAAGGGACATTCAATCTAAAGATCTGTTGCAAGCTGGTTATTCAGTAAATTAAAGGGACATTCAATCTAAAGATCTGTTGCAAGCTGGTTATTTTGTAAATTAAAGGGATTGTCTTCATGAGAAGAGTTAAATGCCCTTTAAACCTAATGTCAAAGTGAAAATTTCTAATATGTCCTTATTTTCTATCCGAAAATGGATAATTTGCAATTGTCGTTTCTTTGTAGAAGTGATGTGTTGGATATATGCAGCAGAGGTAAAAAAAAGGTTTAAAATGGTACCATTGTTAAAGGGATCACTTGAAAATATCAAACTTTTTTGTCAGATTTTCTTTTTGTTGACTTGATTTATGATTATTTTTGTTTTTTAGTATACAGATTCATTAACTATTTTTTTCTTTCAATAAGATTGCACACGCCTTAATTAGTTCTACCAAATCTCTCTTACTCATAAATTTCCATCTTTAATGCACATTTTATTGGAAACTAAGCTCTACTAAAAAGATTCCATGATTTATTTTTTTTCGATTGTATACTACTTGGTGATTAATTATTAATCTGTCATTGTGGATTAATATCTTTTAATTTAAATTTTTTATTTAGGTATTTTACTATCCAATATTCTTTTGCTCCCCTTGCAAGGAGAGCTTCTACACTCCCTCTTACCTACCCCTGTTCCCCCTCCTCCATGACGACGTCACCAAGTGTGTCGCGTACTGGAAGGTTTTTAACCCCGGGCAACCTTTACCCTCCAGGTATTGAAATCACTCAATTTTTCCAGGCATTTAATCAATAACTCTATCCAGGTATTGTAATCAATCAATTCTTCCAGGTATTGTAATCAATCAATTCTTCCAGGTATTGAAATCAATCAATTCTTCCAGGTATTGTAATCAATAAATTCTTCCAGGTATTGTAATCAATCAATTCTTCCTGGTATTGTAATCAATCAATTCTTCCAGGTATTGTAATCAATGAATTCTTCCAGGTATTTTAATCAATGAATTCTTCCAGGTATTGTAATCAATCAATTCTTCCAGGTAATGAAATCAATAACTCTCCCCAGGTATTGTAATCAATCAATTCTTCCAGGTAATGAAATCAATCAATTCTTCCAGGTATTGAAATTAATCAATTCTTCCAGGTAATGAAATCAATCAATTCTTCCAGGTAATGAAATCAATTAATTCTTCCAGGTATTGAAATTAATTAATTCTTCCAGGTATTGAAATCAATCAACTCCTTTAGGTATTGAAATCAATCAATTCGTTCAGATGCAGCTGATTTGAAGTTCCAGAGTTGAATTTGATTTTGAGGGGTAAATAAATGATATGTTGGGTATTAAGTATGTAAAAGCAGGAAAGACTTGCTATTAGTTGTTTACTTTTTATCCACAATATTTTTTAGATTTTTAAGTAATTCTTTTTTTCTAAATCACCCTTGTATCATCAACAAAGTAATTATGATAAAATATATTATTAGTGAGTCTGGTAACTGGTCGCTCTACCCTGATGAATTAAAAACTGAGATCAGACGACTTGTGACAAATTTTCATTCTCTGTTTGGAACACTAGGCCTTAAGGAGGATATCTGGTCTCTGGGACCTTTTTCTAAGGTATCTTTTTAAGATTATCATTTTGTTTAAAATATTGATAAGGATAATGATGCCTTCTCTGGTCGTCCGACATATTGATATCCTTTATGGTATATAGCGTTTAAGATGCCACAAAAAAAGACCACAAGCATTCAGTTTTTTTGTATAAACATGAATGTATGGAAGTAGAAACCCTGTTTTGGAACATCGTTATTATGTGGGATTAATCCTAGAGAATAAGGAAATCTGATTATAAATGCAGTGCAACATTTTGGTAGAAAAATAAATATAAAAGTTTCCTTTTGTTAACAAACAGTAAATCTTAAAGAAACGTTCATGACCTGGATCCTAATCAAAATTAAATGGATTCTAAGCACTGCATGAATCAAAGGATGGCAGGACTAAAGCTGAAATCTAAAAGTTTGCTTTATCAGGAACCATGTGAAAACAGTACTCACTGTAGTAGGCATTAAAGTGAAAACAGTACTCACTGTAGTAGGCATTAAAGTGAAAACAGTACTCACTGTACTAGGCATTGAAGTGAAAACAGTACTCACTGTAGTAGGCATTAAAGTGAAAACAGTACTCACTGTAGTAGGCATTAAAGTGAAAACATTGAGTGCACATAAAAGTATTTGACATACAAACGAATATTGCAGCTTTAATTAAAAAGATATAAAACTTTCTCTCCAAACTTTTTTACCAAAAAAAAATTCTTGAAAACTCCAAGATTTTATATTTAGTGTATTGGGGATCAGTTGGAGAGTTGGCTACCAGCTCGGAACCGAAGAAAGACGGCTCAAGGTTCAGTTAGTCTCATCCTGGTTGATCGAACTCTTGATCTGGGTGGAACTGTGGTTAGTTTCGTAGACTCTATGCTGGGAAGGATTCTAGATTGCCATGAAAAGCTAGAAGGACATACACTAGGTAAATAATAGTAATTATCATGGTACAAATTGAAATTGCTTTTCTTGCTAAATCTTGATTCTTTCCCCTTTCCCCTGTTATTATAACAAAACAAAATAAAACATAAACAATCCTTTCTTCTTCTTTTCCTCTCTATTCTTCAATACCTTTCCTCTATCTACTACTTTTCCTTTTCCTCCTTTTCCTTCAGTTTCAGTTTTATTTTGTTTTATTTAAATTTAACATGCATGTATCGCTGCAGAAACAACCAACCGTTTTTAATCTTTGTGACAGAAACAATCTCATGAACTGACGAGGGTCAACCCAGACCGAAATATATTTTCAATAAATGTGGAACTAACATCTTCATATTTTTACTCTACAGAGGTTTGGTCAATCACCATCAGCAAATCAACCAACAACGGTAAAATGTAAAAATTGTGCAATTGTAATTGTTTTTAATTAAATATTTAGTCAAATATCTATCTATCTATCTATCTATCTACCATTTATGGGGGAAAAGTTCTCTATTTCCCCACCCCTTACAAATCAGATAAGCTTCAGGGGTATAATTGGATAAATTTAAGAGTTCTTAAAACTTTCATCTGCTAAAACATTCAAATATTTCCAAAATTAAAAAGTATAAATTTCATGAATGAACTCCATCTGATTTGAAAGTATCCATCAATATAAAAAAGCTTTAAACTCTCATCCATTATGATTAGCGCTAAGAATACAATTATGATCAAATCTAGATGTTTGTGTAAACCTGAACCATCTGCTGGGAATATCCAACCCGGATATATTCGTTCCCTCGAGCCTTGCCCATCCTGGTGCTGCAGAGGATTCCATGGAAAGAGAAGAGTTTAGGTATATACAACAAATTCGTTCAGAAGAATTTTTGTTACATTTTTCTTCCGGGTTATTATTTTCATAGTTTCAAAAAAACGAATTATGAGAGCTAGACTCCAGAATGATCTCTCCTTGTGATTTTAAAAGAGCGAATTTTCGATCTCATGTAGCAACTATAAAACTCAAATACGTTTTATTTGGATCGAATGAATCCTGTTATTTTTTTTTATTTTTTACTGCACTCGCAGTTCAACTACCAAACCTAGCCAGTCACTCCAATTAAGCGAGGAGCGAGGGAAGGCACACCGCACCCGATTTTAGTAAAAAAGTTGGCCTTGTAACATCATTTGTGGTCCGGACCAAAAACAGGTGTGATGTGCCTTCCCTCCCTCGTTCTGCAACCTCTTGGATCTGGTTTAAGGAGTTTACGAACATTTAATGATTTTTTCGATTTTCTAGAGAAAGTCTGTTTAGTCTTACGTAATTTAAAGTTAAGTTCAGTTAATGTCTGCTTTCACAAAATAATTCAAAATATTGACTGACAGGTGGAGGATGCAAACCTTTTGAAAAATCATTCTTATGTCATAGTCAACATTTTTTTATAGTGTAGTAAATGCAAACTTGTTATGCATGGTATTTTGAAACATGTAAAACTTTTAGAAAAGTCTCTCCTGAAAGGCAAAAAAATCCAAAATATTTACAAACGGATAAAACGCTATTTAGGGAGCTTGTGTACGGCTCTGAGAAGGAGCTTCTAGTCCAACTACATCAGAACCTTGGCAAATCGTCGCCGAAGAAATCAGATTCGGCCAAGAAGAAAATTTTGAATGTCCAAGGTACTGTTTATGTAACGATAACGCACCCAAACATTAATTACGTCCCTCAAAAAAATTTTAAAAAACTTTATGGTATGGCTTTTAGCCCTCCTACCAGGTTCCAGGGTTTATTTTACAGTGAAGCGGGAGAAAATTAATTGGTCAGATCCGGGTTGAAAAACCACAGAACAGTCGGGACTTGAACCTCCTGGTTGTTCGGTGGAGCCTAAAGCAATCCACATTCCACACACCTCATGATTTGATTTGATTTGATTTGATTTGATTTGATTTGATTTGATTTGATTTGATTTGATTTGATTTGATTTGATTTGATTTGATTTGATGCAGGGGGGTGAGGGGTTGTAATTTATCTAATTACATAAACTGTTTGGTTGAAGGACTTGAGAATGACTTGAAGGAGTATGAAGGTGACCTGGAGAGTATCCTTAGTAACCTCGGATCTATCTCTAGAGGCCAGGCCTTCATAAATACGGCCTCCAACCAGAACATCCTCAAGAGGAAGAGGTTACAGTCTCTAGCCTCGCAGTTTGGTCCAGATCTTCGGGATAACAGGCAGATTCATAGATTCAGTTTCACAAAAAAAAAAAAAAAAAACCTAACACATCAAGAATAGAAAAACATTTTAAGTCTTGTTCTCGATATTCTTGAAGTCTGTAGTTGTTTTCTTTTATTGGACTCAATTTCCAAATATAAAATTGAGTTCAATGACTCGTTAATTATTCTCTCAAACCTGAATATTCAATACTTAACTAAATTTCCTAACAACATAATATAAACTTGAAAAGAACTGAGTAGTAAAAAGCCAAGATTGAGTTGAAATAACAAAGCATGGTTGCACACAAACTATATTTACGTTACTAGAAATTCAAGGCGCTTCGGCCCTTCTTTCTAGGCTCTTCTATTTAAATTGTGAACATGTTCTTTTTGTTTACATTTTAAAACAAAGAAAAAAAATTTTGCGGATTTAAAAAAAAAATTTAACTTTTTTTACAAAACAAAAAACCTTTTAAAAACACATTTTTTTATCATTCATAAACCTTCCCTGTGGTCAAGTGATGTCCCACAAAAATTTGGGCCCGATCGGTTCAGCCGTTTTGACGTTTATTGGATACAAACAAACAGACAGACAGGCCAAATTTATATATAGATGTACAGTGTACTGTACACTGTACAGAGTTTAAAACTGCTGGAACTCCCATTTTGAAAAAAAAAAATTATCTTTAAAATTGCAAGAGTAAATTTCAACGGCACAATCCCCACTTTATATTCTCAAAAGTCGTGTTCAGTTTCTATAATTTCGCATGATTTTATTAAGTAAATATAAAAATTATAATATTAAAAGTAACACTGCAGTTCATCTTTTACTTCATAAAAAGTTTATATATATCAAAAACGTTTCCTTAAGTCTTTATTTTGTTTCTTCAATTAAGTTTTCGGGCGTCTTTTATAATATCTTTGATTGTGAGGGTTTTTTTAATACAGATAATTCGAATCTGACACGTCTAAGCCTTTTTTAAATGATTCTTAAAAATTTATAATTAATTTTTATGATTTTATTTTTAAAATTATGCGGGGCACATATCTTTATCCTAGAAAAGGATTGAGGGACCTAGACCATATTTTATTGATTTTATTTTAAAAAAATGTTATGAAATAAGAAAACCGAACAGAAAAACAATTATAGTATTTTTCAAGATAAATTTTATGATTATTTTTCCAACATTTTGTTTCTGCAATTAACTTTTCTGGAATATTTTTGAATATCTTTGACTCGGAGGTTTTTTTAAATACAGACAAATCTAATCTGAGATTCCTAAGAGACGGAGTTCTGACCCAGATATCAGATCTGGTTCTAGGTCGAGCAGACTCCAAGCTCTCCCTGGTGGATCTAATCCAGCTCCTTGTTTACATCTACAGTGTTCACCATATTCAGGTAACTTCCAGGATTTTAAAACTTTATTCTGTTAAGGCTTGCTTTTTTAAAACTTTACAATATCATAAATCTTTCTAAAAAAATGCAAAAGCGATCGGTATAACGTTTTGGTTTTTGGTCGTTTTTAGGTTGTTTTTAGGTTGTTTTTGAATCTTTTTTGGGTCGATTTTGGCCCGTTTTTGGGTTATTATTGGGTTGTTTTTGGGTCGTTTTTGGATTGTTTTCGGGTCGTTTTTCGGTTGTTTTGGGTTGTTTTTGGGTTGTTTTTGGGTTGTTTGGGTCGTTTTTGGGTCGTTTTTTTTTTGAGTATATCTTTTGTCACGGTCAAAATATTGCATTATGTTATTAAAGCAAATGTTTAAAATAAATATTTTCTTTTCTAACACTTTCCAAGTTTTGGCACTCGAAAAAAATTATATGCAAAAAACTAATACACATCGCCATGTCCAGGAGAAGTTCCGGGAGGATGAGGAGGAGAGGATCAAATCCGTCCTAGGTGAAGCAATACTAACCGAGGGTCGAGCAGATAACCTGGATCCTATTCTTCAAGCTCTTTTTAAAAGGTATCCATTGGGTCTAATTGAAACCATTCTTATCTAAACACATTTGAACTATTTACATAATACGGCTAGTATTTTCACACAAAATCATACAGTTAAACCCTAACTGAGCCATACATCGAAAGAATTTATCAAATGTCGTCTTGATAATTTTTTAATGTTTTTTTTTTCTATTCTACGTAAATCTCAGTATTTGCGTTTTAAAGAGCTCCATATAATCGTTTAATTAACAAACTAAATATCTGCAACATTCCATTATCAGAAAGTGAAGAATACGACATTTGATGAATTCTTTCGATTTATGGCTTATTTAGGGTTTATCGAGAAATTAGGAATAAATATCTTTAAAACACCAATACAAACAATTCTTTTTAGAAAGCTAGTAGTATTGTAGACATTTTCAATTATTAAGAAATTTTTGTTTAAGGGAGAATGAGGAAGAAATGAATGAGCTGGTTGCCTTGAACATAGTAAACTATATCTGGAGTAGGTTAGAGGGTATACAGGCATACAGATCTACACTACACTCCTACCTTACCCTACTAGGTAATATACAAGGAGTAGGTTAGAGGGTATATAGGTCTACACTCCTACCCTTCCTTAGTAGATCTTACTTATGTCATATTTTGAGTAGAATAGGATAGACATTCATGATGTATCTTATCGGTCTTAAGTTAATAAGTCACTCGACCCACATGCAGGGGTGTGCACAGGAATTAAATACAGAGATGTTAGGGGGAGGGAGCCTGTTTTAACCACTACCATGTTTCTTTAAACCACTAATATTTAAATTTTTAACTTTTCCTCTACAAAAGAATGGAATCTTTCTCTATAGTACGTTTTTACGTTTTAAATTCGTTGGAAGAATAGACGTAGCTAAATTAACAAAAACGAACAGTTCTTCATTCGTTCAATTCTTCGTTTCTTTTTCGTTAGTTCCTCCATTTGTTTCTTTGTTCTTGTAATTATAGCACTCAAATAATTCACAGTCTCTGTGCATTTGTTTCTTCAAACTGTCTTAAAAGAATACTGGAAAGTTCTTTATCTATTTATTTAGATGAGGACGGGAATTATTATGGAATTTTGCAACAGTTGTTAGAAGACATCTATCATCCAAACAGTATAGAGGTAAACACTGAACAGACTAAACAACCTTTTCTTACAATGTTACAAAATAAATTTGTTCAAAATTTTAAATTTTAGATTCCAGATTTATTCCATCACACTGGAGGACTTGGCTCCATGATAAGATCCAGTTTAAGCTGGTTTGGGGCAGGGAGTAATAAACAGCATCCCAGGTATTACATCCAGTGAAAACTGGTTTGGGACTCGTAGTGATAAACATCATCCCAGGTATTATATCCAGTTTAAGCTGGTTTGGGGCAGGGAGTAATAAACAGCATCCCAGGTATTAAATCAAGTTTGAGCTGGTTTGGGGCAGGGAGTAATAAACAGCATCGCAGGTATTAAATCCAGTGAAAACTGGTTTGGGGAATGGAGTAATAAACAGCATCCCAGGTATTAGATTAGATTAGATTGGCTGGTTTGAAGCTGGGAATAATAAACAGCAATGTATTAGATTGAGTTCAAACTGGTATAGGATATTAAAACTCTCGGATTTTCTAAAAACTTTTGCTAAATTTTGTTGGTGGGCGCAAAAATCTGGGATAACATCTTTATTTAGACAAAATCCGTGGATCATAGTTTATGTGGTGGGAGGGATTACTCCAGGAGAGATGAAAGAATTGCAGGTAGTTTTTAAAGGGACTGTACACGTAATTTCAAGTGAGCCTCTATGCAAGAATGGCAATGTTCGATTCACAACGGTACCCATAATACCTCCTTATAATAAACAAATATGCAGTACGCTCTCGGTATAGTTTATGGCCTATAGAATTAGCAAAGGATTAGCGTACATCCATAATTTATACACTGTAACCTCGTTGGTTAGGAATGCGTATGTCACCTTTGTAGAGAAACAATGATTGAGATTAATCAGATTTCGAGATTTTAAACATTTATATCTAACTCATAGTTTCTATCAAACAAAGCTTTTAAGGGTACCGTAGATGGTTACTTAAAACTACGCTTACAGTCCCTTTAATTAGTTTTAATGTTCTGTAAATTGCAGAAATTAACTTGGATGGAGTGGGGAGCCCCTCAGGGGATGGGTCGATCTTGAAAATATCTCTATTTAAACTATCCTTATCTTTTTTTAAAATGAATTTCTCTTCTTTCGAATGCGTTTTGCTTTATTTCAAAGTCAAGGTTGTGCAAAAAAATTGATGACTAACTTTTAGCTGGAATTTTTCATTTTTAAAGATTTTATATACATTATTAATTGATGAAGTGTGATTTTCAAAGTTGTCGGATCTTGGCAAGATTCGAGGACCAAAAATGTGCATGTCAGACGGATCGCTTCACTTACGAGAATTCTAGAGCGTCGGTAAACCCGCCGGTCACGGGGCGCAATTTGATTTTCTCTATAATTCTACCACGATATTTTTGTGGTTTTCTTTCGTTCTTTTCCGAATTTCTCCTTCGTTCTCTCCATCATTTCCAATTCTTCTCTTCTACCCTTTTTCTTTTTTCCTAATTTTTCCTCAATTTTTTTTTTTCCCCTATACTTCAAAATATCCCCTATTTTTGATGAACAAAATTGAGATATATGTTTCCTGAAAAGAAACTAGAATTAAATTATTTTTTAGAAAACTGTCCTCGGCACCGAGAGTAAGCTTACTATCGCAGGCTCAGGTAGAAGCTCTGAAATGAATTGAGTTTTTACCACAAATTCAAATGTTCTTATCCCTATATCTTTGCAACCTGGTTATCGAGAATTCATGGTTTTAAATATCAGAGGTCTACGAAATCTAGTTTCATAGATATAGGGATTAAAAGATCAGAGTTTGTGGCAAAAACTCATTTCGTTTACTTCATCCTATTGCTCATACGATTACAATGCATTTTCTCTAATCCCTTATATATTGTTCGTATTTTGGTGGCACCTACAGGGTGTCCTAATAAACATGGATACAAAAAAAGCGACTTTTAAATCGTCTGTGATTTGCACGGCATTTCTTTGCAGTAATGGCCACTTAAACAAAAATTATTATTGACAACCTTAGTCTTGAGCATTCTATTCTGTTATCTGCCATATTGTAGCTTCAAAAATTCAAAATTTACTTTCAGTTATTTTGTTCAGATTATAGTTTATCGAATTTAGAATTATAATTATAATTAGAATTATAGTCCCCGCCCGCGTACAAGTCTCTGGATAAACTCCATTTATCATTCCGGAATTCAAATTCAAATCTTAAATCTTCTCTGAATGCCCATGTTTATTAAACACCCTGTATCATTATGTTATTCCAGGTATTCTGACTGCAGCAGACTCGTTGAACCTAATATTCAGCAATAACCCGCTCCTCACAGATAGATAGATAACTTAACAGAAGACGACATTCGATTCGAGTTATGCTTCACTTTACCAGAACACATTCGAATTTCAAAAAATGAATTTCACACCACCTGTGATTTGTACAATTATTTTTTATTGATATAATATATATTTAAATAACAATGGAGAATGTTAAACAATGTTAGGTTAGATGAATTTTAATGTTTTCTAAGGAAAGCTGGGGGGGGGGGTAATTGTTGCCCTCATCTCTGAAGTCCTATCCTTTGTGGGTATTATACAGAGTGTATATATTATCATGCCAAAAGTCTAATAGATCCCTATAATTTACTTTTATACCTTTTTGAATTGATGCAATAGTTTAGCAAATGTGTGAAAGGTTCTTAAAAATTCCAATTTATAGCTTTTCAGGATCTTAGATGATGTAGTATAGATATTTCGTTTATCATTTAACTTCTCATCAAGTTTGGGAACCCAGCTTTGCCTGAAAATTAAGTTGTCCAGGAAAAAAACTCAACTAACTTAATTTAAGATTTTAATTCTAGTTTTTAAATAAAACATTAATGTGGTTCTTCTGATGTCACCAATTGAAATTTGAAGCAAATCAGTCACGGGGTTTATGAGTTATGATCGGATATACAAACAGAGATTACTACTTTATATACAGAGATCAACTAATTTTGATTTTCAAAGATTTTTTCCGTTTTTATGTCGTTATTCACCATCCTTCTTGTTCCCTCTGTTATGCTGTGTATATCAGTAAATATGAGTGCTAGCTGCTAAGGATTGGTTGTGTTGGTATACAGTGCTGGGATCCTTGGATTTCCTAAAATAGATAACTACGGTGTCGTACATCAGTTCATCTCCCCCTAGTGTAGACACCATTTCAACACAATTTTAGACATCAAAAGTAAGGTTTTGACATTTGATGTTTATGAATTGAATATACACAAATTATCTGTCTTGAATAAATATTACTTGTTTGATAATTTTTAAGAAAGGCAACATTAGATTGGAATTAACTGTGTTTATATGTTCTCATTAAAAAATAGATTTTGAAACATTTATTTATGTAAAATTGATTTTTAGGAATTGTGTTGAAATTGTTAAAAATTTAAGAGGATATGAACTGATACAGGACACTGGTCATAAAAAGTGGAATGAATTACGTTTGTAAAATGAAAAAACCAGTGCTTAGGATCCGGATCCCCAAAAAAATGCGGATCCACGGATCCGGATCCAAGCACAATTTTATTTTTCAAAATGTGCAAAACAGCGTAATTTTTCCTTAAAAATATCCTATTTTGAATTGTTTAACAGATTTTAAAAATATTCTCAGGGTCTCAGGTTTCTATCTTGCTCAAGTCTTAACTCAGACCTCCACCGTGCACCCCTCCCCCCACCCCCTTTAATAACTAAAGAGGGGGGGAGAAGTCTCCCTTTTCCCCATTGCAACTAAGCAAATTCAGTCTTCACACATTAAGGTGTAAGAGTGAGGGGGAAAAGGGAGGGGGCGCACATATGCTAAAAAGATACAGATGCTAAGGAACATCTTGTTTTCCCTGTATAAAGAGACTGTTCTCTGCCCTGAAGATATTCAAATCAGACCTAAGGAGTTGCCTGAAGGCAGATATTCCAAACGCCCTCCCTCTACTAAAAGCTAATATGAATTAGACCTGTTTTTTTTTGTGCAAACTAGTAGAAAAATAGTATAAAAAAATGTTAAAATGTTTAACATTTTTTTTAGGTATGAAAAGATATTTGAACTAAAATAAAAAATTTTTTTGATCAATGACCTGGATCCGGATCCGAATCCGGATCCATTTTTTTGAAAAGCGGATCCAGGATCTGGATCCGGATCCGCATCAAAATTTAATGGATCCTAAGCACTGGAAAAAAGGTTTTTAATCGTTTTGGTTTGTTTTTTAAAAACTCTAATAAAACTTCTTATATTAGATTTTTCAATATTTTTGTACAAAGAGAAAATGTAAGATAAAACAAACAATAAAAAAATCGTTTTAACTGGATTTATTATTTCAAGAGTGGCTTCATGGAAGTGACGTCAGACTCTATGCTACAGAACCAGTGCTTAGGATCCAGATCCAACGGATCCGGAAGATTTTGGCTTCCTGGATCTGGATCCGCGAAAATATGCGGATTCACGGATCCGGATCCAAGGGGTAAAATAGAAACCAAAAACTGCTAAAAAAACTTTTTCTCCTAAAACCTAAATCTGAACTCTTAAAAAAAGAGAGATTATAAAAATTTCTGAATGGTTCATTAACTTTTAGGATAAAAATAAAACAAAAAATTTGAAAATTATTTTCTTTTAAAAATCTAAGAAATTACCTGGATCCGGATCCGGATTTCCAGTGCGGATCCAGGATCCGGATCCGCATCAAAATTAAATGGATCCTAAGCACTGTACAGAAGAATAAAGGAGAGGTTAGAACATTTCAAGCTAGTAAGACGAAAATATCTTTGACAACATTACTTCTACACTCACTCACTTTACTTTTATAGTCCAATTGTTCATATTTATACCCCTGCTTACTAACAAATAGTATGAATGTGAACCCTAGACCACTTACCAGAGTGTGTATATAGAGTGAACAATAAATAGTATAAATGTGAACCCTAAACCACTTACCAGAGTGTGTATAAAGAGTGCACAATAAATAGTATGAATGTGAACCCTAAACCACTTACTAGAGTGTGTATAAAGAGTGCCCAATAAATAGTATGAATGTGAACCCTAGACCACTTACCAGAGTGTAGAGTGAACAATAAATAGTATGAATGTGAACCCTAGACCACTTCCCAGAGTGTGTATATAGAGTGAACAACAAATAGTACAAATGTGAACCGTAGACCACTTACCAGAGTGCATATATAGAGTGAACAATAAATAGTATGAATGTGAACCCTAAACCACTTACCAAAGTGTGTATATAGAGTTGTTAAAACAAATTCGAAATATAAGGAAGACGATTTTACCGACTCAAATGCCGTAGCCTTTTCTCAAGACGTGTTTATCCATTTCCTCCATGTAGCACCCACATGTCAAACCCCGCTCATCCGTTTCTCGCCTCACCCCTCTATAACACATCCCAGCTCAGTCAGGTTTAGAGAGTTGAGCCGGTAACAGCTCCGGCACAGGGAGCCTCTTGACTCCTTTATGATGATGATGCAGATACTCAGCGCAACGCCCCTGTTGATCTGCTCCACTAACATGAAGCTCTACATCACCCCCATGACTCCTTTATGATGATGACACAGATACTCAGCGCAATGCTCCTGTTGATCTGCTCCACCAACATGAAGCTCTACATCACTCCCATGAAGTACCCCCAAATACTCATCATTTATGCCTTTGTTAATTTCTAAATCAACCAATTTTAACTCCGCCTTAAGTGCAAATATTTCAAAACTCTCGTTTTTAAATAAATGTTAGAAATATCCATTTTTAGATCTCTTTATTTTACTATAGTGACTTTTAAAGTCAACAAGAGTGCACAATAAATAGTATGAATGTGAACCCTAAACCACTTACCAGAGTGTGTATATAGAGTGAACAATAAATAGTATGAATGTGAACCCTACAGAGTGTGTATATAGAGTGAACAATAAATAGTATGAATGTGAACCCTAAACCACTTACCAGAGTGTGTATATAGAGTGAACAACAAATAGTACGAATGTGAACCCGAGCCCGAACACTGCTACAGTCCAGAAATTCGTGTCAACTAAACAACATATTTATTGAACAAAAGCTATTTTTGTTTGATATAAAAAATAACATCCTGAAAGTGAAACGTCAAGGAAGTGTTGAAATGACGAGTACATTTTAAAGCATCAAATAAATGAGATCTACATAGCTCTTTAACTTCAACTGCGCGAAGTGCTATAAGCATCCCCCCTCCCCTTGAAGTGCCGGGAATGGAGTACCAATTGCTCAGTTTGATATTATTTTATGTCAATAATATACCTGGATAATATTCAATAATATACCTGGATAATATTCAATAATATACCTGGATAATATTCGATGTTGATTGCTCCCATTTTTTCTTATGATCTCTTTATATCTCTGAAACAAGAATAATTCATTTTAAATTATGAAAAATGAAAATTTATAATATTAAATCACATTTAACAAGTTGGTAGAATACCCTAAAAGAGATGTAATTTATAGGGACCCTTCAATGATATGGGTATGTCCGATTTACAAGGGTACCCATAAAAACATGTTTTGAAAACCAACTACGTTTATCTGTACTTTCTCTAAAAAAAAGTAATTTGAGCATTTCTTGCTTCAGAATGTAGGAAAACGAATATATCTTCCAATGTGGATCAGATAAAAAGGTTTCACCTATTAATTTTATCTAGAATATTGTTCACCAAAAAAGTTGTTTCACTTGTTCAGAAATATCCGTGTACCGGGATTAGGAAAAAATAACCTTTTTTCTCTAAAACTTTCAGCAAAAAAAGACTTTGAATCTGATGAATCTGTTTACAGTGCAGTACGGCTGATATAATGGTTCACTAAACCCACTCTCTTCTCTTTTACGTCCTCCATCTATCTATCTATCTATCTATCTATCTATCTATCTATCTGGCGGCCTCGACAACCTCCTTGAATCACGACGCAAAACGTGAACAAAATTTAATGGGTTTTCTTGGTAACCATATATCTTTCTTAATGGTGTCGACTGTAAGCGTAATTTCAACTGACTTTTCATTCAAAGTTGTCAATGCCTGATTTATAATGGTACGATGGAAAAAGATATTAATGTTTTTGTTTTGAAAACTTAATTTTCATTTTTCGTTTTCTGCAAAAGTGACTTGCACATTTCTTGCGTTAGAAAAATGATACTTTCTCAAGTTTTAAAACTAACCCATTTTCAAAATCTTAATTTCGTTGCCATCATTTCCTACTATTTTGCGACTGGGGTTTGACTTAAAAATCCCAAAAAAATACACATCTTAGTTAAAATCCTGGGGGAGGAACAAAATCAATGGTATCTAACCAATAACAACGGTTCTTATCATTCGTTAAACCAAATCTTCCGTTAATCGTTTGCTAATCGCTATAGCTGGTAAACATACAAGATAAAATAGATTGTGTTTTAAACTTATAAGTTATTGATGATATAATTGTTTATTTTCCAATTATAAAATAGAAATAAATAAGTCGAAATAGCACTTGTAATTTTTAAACTTTTGAATTGCACACTTCTTGATTTGTTAATGAACTGGACCATATCCAGCTCCATGACCTCCTCCTCCCGCATGTGCTACCCCTCCAGCATGTCCTACTCCTCCAGCATGCACATCAGCAGCATAGGGTATAGGCTCATACTTGACATCAGCTACATATCCACTGTAATCATCAGCAACATGGTAGGTTACAATCTGTCTTCGACCGTCAGGAAGATCCACATAGTAGGAACCCTGTAATACAATAATCATCATTAAATTAGCAATTAATGATAATATATTGATATTTACTCTTCAAGACAAAAGTTAACACTTTAGCAATGCTACCTTAGTAGAGTCAGTGAGGTCAGGACTGAACAAGAAAACATAATGCTAATTGCAATATTTTTTTTAAAAAGAATGAATTTACTCAGTGAGGTCAGGACTGAACAAGAAAACATAATGCTAATTGCAATATTTTTTTTAAAATTAATTTTGTTTGTTTTAAACTGTATGTATATGTATTACCAACAGTACCTTATAGATTTGATCGAATTCATGTATTTGACCGTTTTGTCGACGAATTCTAACCCCTTCAACCCCCCCCCCCCCTTCCCCCACTGCATACGCCCATAAACTAGTCAATCCTTTTCCAGTCAATCAATACTCTTCAAAAGAGTAAGGTACGGTTTTCTAATTTTTCTTTTAAGTTTTATGTGTTTTGACAATATATTTATTTTGAAAAATTCCATTTTACATAAAAATATTTTTATTTTTGTTCTCTTCTTTGTTTTTTTTTACTTGCTGTGCTTGTATTTTTTATTTTTATTTTTTATTTTTTGCTTATATCTGTTATATTATAGGACAAACTCCTGATGATGCCAAAGTTTTTGGCGAAATATATTGAGAAGAAAATGATATAATTCTAGTGCTAGAGAGTAGGGTTGGGATTTGTTTCAAAACGATCTAAAGTTTACCTTAGTAGAGTATCCATCCCTATCCTCTTCATGTCCAACGTTAACTGGTCCTGAGTATCCACTATAGCCATGCTTACCTTAGTAGAGTATCCATCCCTATCCTCTTCATTTCCAAAGTTAACTGGTCCTGAGTATCCACTATATCCATGCTACCTTAGTGGCGCATTCATCCCTATCCTCTTCATGTCCAAAGTTGACCATGGTCCTAAGTATCCACCATAACCATGCTTACCTTAGTAGAGTATCCATCCCTATCCTCTTCATGTCCAAAGTTGACTGGTCCTGAGTATCCACTATATCCATGTTTACCTTAGTAGAGTATCCATCCCTATCCTCTTCATGTCCAAAGTTGACTGGTCCTGAGTAACCACCATAACCATGTTTACCACCTGGGGCGCTCACGCCATACTGAAATTGTTAGTAATATTATTGGCACAAAATTTTTAAATTGTACAGGGTGCCAAAAAAATATGGGAATCCTGAGACAACTTGAAAATCAACTTTAATTTATAAATTACAAGGAAGAAATTAAATATAAAGTTTGTAGATATTTTGAGCTTTTCACCCTTATTTGTATCTAAAATAGCGACAAAAATTAATTCACACAATGTTGATTTAATATAACAAAATCTGATAAACTTATTAATACCTCCGCCAATTTCTAGGTACACAAATAACTGTTGAAAAATACTATACTGTCTAAATAAGCCGGAATAATGAAATTGATTGATTCTTCATAGTCGTCTTTGATTTTAGAAATAGTTTGCGGTATTCAACATTGATAACCTTATTATAGTTATATGTTTTTATGAATGAGACATTTTCATGGTTTTATTTAATAAATTGAAATTTAAAGAAAATTATTAATTCTCTGGTATTTATGCGAGCAAAGAACTGGCAGACCACCTTTTGAAAATGGCAGGATTATGGGGCCATTCTGTGATAACTGTTCCTAAAAATATATTGCTGCAATCAGGTTACCAATGATGAATGCTGCAAACTATTTCTAAGGTCAAAGACAACTTGAAAGTATCATTCAATTAACATTATTCAGGGTTATTTAGACTTTGACTGTATATTTGCAATCACTCACTTACAACCTTGTGTGTCTGAATTAATGATAAAGAAAGATGCTACTAAAAGTCTTAAAATTCCCTCAATTTTCTTCAATTAATAGTCTTAACATTTAAATGCAAAATTTTATGTAGTCCTCATAAAAATGTAAACAGTATTAATTAAAGGATGTTAAAAAACATTACACATTTTTTCTCTCAGAGATTATTCCCAAAAGATAATGAGCCTTTATTCCGAGTTGGGTTAACTAAATCATGGCATCTTTAAGACATTGTGTTATTAATTGCATTATGATCGGATAGTAATTAAGTCTCTGAAAGAAAAAAGTGTTCGATTTTTTACTACTCTTTATAACCTTGTAAGCATAATGTGGGCTTGTATGTGCATACTCTTGATGTCCATATCCTCCACTATGTCCCCCATGACCACCTCCATGACCTCCACCATGAATAGCTCCTCCTACATGACCACCACCACCAACAAGACCTCCTCCTAATCCAATACCGCCTCCAATCCCAATTCCGCCTCCATGTCCAATTCCGCCTCCATGTCCAATTCCGCCTCCATGTCCAATTCCGCCTCCATGTCCAATTCCGCCTCCATGCCCAATTCCGCCACCATGTCCAATTCCGCCTCCATGTCCAATGCCGCCTCCGATTCCAATACTTCCTCCTGAATGTCCTCCGAAACCTCCATGATCAGCTAGAGCAGAGGCTACAAGGCAGATAATAGTTGGAAGAAACTTCATTGCTACAAGGAAACTAAACTGTACTGCAGATCTAATTGTACTGTACTGCACACTACTAAATGTTGTAGGATGAAGAGAGCTGAGAGTACTGAGGATTAAAAACAAAAATAAACCTTTTTATTCAATATTTTGACATTATCGGTGACTTTTCCAAATTCCTAATCATTTCATGGTGCAGTGCGCACACAGCTGGCGGTATAGTTTACAGTGTCTGACCCGTTCAGATCTACTCTCGTTAAAGTTACTCAACCCTTCGCTCGTAATAACACTTCCTTTTCTTATAATATAGTTTAAAGGGACTGTCCCCGTAGTTTGAAGTGACACTCAATTTGAAGCGGGCATGAACGATTGTTTATGTCCAATTCTTTAAAAGGTTTAAATACCCCTCCTTTAACAAGCCGCCCCCCCTCCCCCCGATTTACGTAAAAGTTCGTTAATACATCCAAACAGTTTGTTTTTAACCTTTGTGACAGAAACAATCTCAAGGAATAATAATTGTCTTAAAACATTTTTTTAAAAGTGAATATTCGCAAATTATCTTTTTTCCATCTCATAATCTGAGTTCGTTTCCCTTTAGTCCATTTGACAGCCCAATTTTTTAATAATCTTTTTTGTATGCTTATTTTCTTGCGGGTTTTAATTATTTTTTATCGATTTTGATGGTTATTATATCGTTAGAAGGAGGGTCAACCCAGACCGAAATATATTTTCACAGAGGTTTGGTCCATCACCATCACCAAATTTTAATTTTATCTGATCAATAATGTGAAAGCTATTGTCGTTTTTTTAGACTTAAAAAGTGTTTAATTCTAATCATTTCTATATGTATTTCTGCGGTAGAAATGCAAAATTAGAGAAACAGCAATTAAAGTTAGAGTTTACAAATTATTATCATTGATATCTAATTTACGATGATCAGAAAAAGGGTACCTTTGTGAATTGGGTATAGCCCACCTCTCATAAAGGGATACTTGAAATCAAGGTTATAATGCAAGGAAACTTAATTGCGGCTGTGTATACTCTGCGTACATATTGAAACCAGTTCTCTCAGGCGGAATTTGTAAACAAGAATAGATGCATCAGTGTTCGTTTAGTATCCGAGGAGGTTAAAAGCATTACATTTTGATAGTTTTGATTGATCCCATGTCAGGCTTCGACATCCGTCTTGTGTTTACATTATACCGCCCAGAGACAGTACACTGCAGTACATAAGATGCGTCTCCTCTGAAATAACTTTCCTTGAATTATAACCTTGCTTAGAGTTATACTTACAAGTCTCTTTAATAATGCGACACAAACCAGAAACTCAAGTTATTCATCAACCGTAAATAATGATATAATAAACTATATAGTTTAAATGTTTTTATACTACGTGTTATACTAATTTTTAATAATATACAATAGTTCGAATTTGGATCGAATAGCGTATTAAAAAAGTGTGTAAAAAATTAATTTTTATAATTATATATCTTTGCAACCTGAGTCTAAAACTAAAGAACGAAAAGTTTTGACTTAAATTTTAAGTTCATGGTTAAATGCCACTTCTGACTTAATTTAAACCTGAACTTTAACCGTGAAGTTAAATATTTAACCCTGTGGTTAAATATTTAACTCGCCGAAATCGACGAGTTAAAATTTAAACACAGGTTTAAAATCTTGAGATCCTGCATTTTCCCTATTTGTCTATTATTCAATCATCATTCAGCTACAGCTGAGAAAGCGGCATTCAACTTAACGATATATTTAAAAGTGAAAACCTTGTTGAAGAAATTTCACGTTTTAGATAAATTAATTTTTGGATGTAAACCCAAAAAAACGGTTGTATGTTTTGTTTTCTGTTACGTAAGAACAGCTGATTAGCGATGGTTATGTAAGATTCTCTTTAAATCCTTTTCTCTGATTGGTTCAGATTTTCCCGGGAAATTCAAATTTAAAATTGAGAAAGTTTAATATTTAAATAGCTATTCATTATTTTACAGAACTTTTAACCTCAAACTTAAAATTCGCGCATTCTTTAGTTTTAGACTCTGATGATGAAAATTTTAGATTTTTTTTAACATAGGCTATTTGATCTAACAGAATACAAAGTTTGAACTATCAAAGGTCTACAACATATAGTTGCAAAGATATAAGAATTATAAAATCAGAGTTTGTTGCAAAAACTTAGTTCCTTAAACTAAGTACGTGGTCATAACTTATGAATCCCTTGAACCGATTTGCCTTCAATTTTGAATAAGAACTTGGTAGAACCACACAAATGTTCTTAGCTTGGTTTTAAACTTCTAAGTATGGGTTGGTTTAATTTTATAAGGATTTTATAAATTTATATTTGCTAGAAGAAGAAAAAGTTGTATCAAAAACGTTTGAAAAAATATATCTAAAAGATTTAAAACAAAACCAATTACTGCCCTCAACATATCTTAATAATATCTTCTTTGGCGAACTATTGGTTGGAATCGTACAAAGTTTCACAATTATGATTTTCTTTATCTATGGAATGCATTTATAACATTTGTGACAATTTTATAATTGAATTGAAATAAGACATTTGACAAGTAAAACAATTGACAAACATAACATTTGACAGATGTGACATATGACGCATGCGACATATGACATTAAAAAAAATTTCTTCAAAATTATGATAGTCTTTATGTATGGAATGCAAATTAAAATAAATTCGCATTCCATAAATAAATTCCTAGGTGTATAACATTCTACTCTCCTGCAGGAATAAATTCCTGAATGTATGACATTTTTAGAATAAAAATAAAACACATATTCTTCTAAAAACTTTATTCAAAGATTTTACACGATAAAGGGAAAGGCATGTTTCTTTGTATACAGAGTATTCACATAAAATAAAATGAAAATTTGAGTACAAAAACTATTACATAAAAAACTAAAAAAAAATGAAAAATATTTAGAAAATTTAAGTTCAAATATTTAAATGTACATTAGAACTAAAAAGGAATAAAAAGTTACAAAAATTCTGAAACTAAAAAGGTTAAATATTTGAAGTAGGGTTCTGTGTGTACAATAACTTAATGATAAAAGTAAGTGTTATAGTTTGTTCTCTTTTAGACAAATTTGGTAAATGCTGAAGTTAACACAGAGATTTTCTAGTATTCAATATAGTATCATGAATATATTTTCTAATAGTCAATATAGTATCATGAATATATTTTAAAGGATCAGACGACAAAAAGTTGCTTAAAGGGACTGTAAGCGTAATTCTTGAGTCATTCAATATCCGCTTACAGTCCCGTTTTTAGACCCCTTCTACAATTAAAACTATAAACAACTGAAAAAACATTTATAAAAAATTATTTTTTTTGAAGAATAAACAACATACAGTTAAACCCTAAATAAGCCATGCATCGAAAGAATTCATCAAATGTCGTCTTGAAAATTTTTCAATGTTTTTTTTTAACTACTTTGCGTAAATCTCAGTATTTGCGGTTTAAAGAGCTCAATATAATCATTTAATTAAAAAACTAAATATCTGCAACATTTCATTATCAGAAATTGAAGAATATAACATTTCATAAATTCTTTCGATGTATTTAATATTTAAGGTTTAACTGTAGCAGATTCAGATTACAGTTAAAATAAACTTTATATGTATCTATTAAACTTTTACCAAAGGCATATGAGTAAATGACACTGAAATCTAGACATTACTGGTACGGCCGTGTGACCTCGTAGTTCCTCTAGTTATAGTTTTGCGAACACGTATGAGAAAAAAAAATTAATCTGAGTTGAAAACTTTCGAATGAGATATCCTTAATCCCGATTACTTAATCACAGTTTTTTTTTTTTTAAATTAGATAGTCCCTCCCGTTTCTGTATATTAATCTTAATTGGCGCGCAAAATTTCAAATTTTTCAGCTTCATATACGCGACTATTATTGGTTGAATTAAATAAACTTTTCAGGATACAACTGCAAGATTAGGTTAGTCTCAATATTAAGAAAAAGAGAGAATCAAGCATTAATCTCGATATCCACCATTCTAAAGTTTTCAGCTCTGGTTACATTAGCAATTCAAAACATTTTTAATCTTCTCAATAACTCTTTATTGACAGGAGTTATAAGATTTGAATCTTTTATGCAATATAATTTAGTTATACATGATGAATTTGATATTTTAGGCCTTACTATTCATCATAAAAACACAATGTTATGAAATGTAATTGTAAATGTGATTGTCATGTAATTGTAAATATGTTTAAATGAAACTATTTATCGGCTGCATTTTAATGGATTTTAATATTAAAATAAAACTGGGATGAATTCTATTTTATGATCTGTCTCCTATAATTATATCTAGTTTTTTGTTTCTTTAATCAGATTTTTGATCAGCGTATTTACTTCGCTACGAATTTCTTCTTCACTCGATTCATCAATCCACCTAAAGATAAGAGAAGAGGGTATAGGCTGAAACCTGATAATCTTATGAGCTGATTGATAAGAGTTCTATCTTATTTTCTTGCCTCGAGAAATTGATATAAAACTGTGTCAAAATTATACCAAAACGTATATATTTAAGATTTTGTATAAGAATCGTAATATTATACAGATCATATTCAACAAATACGCAACCAATCTGAAAACCACGATATCCAAGAGGAGTCAGAGAAACTCAGGTGTACTCCTATTACTATTCGAATTTAATAATTTTTCAATTTTAATAGATATATTGATAATATTACTTATACGTCCGAACCATCTCACCAGCACCCCAACCAATGGCAGTGTAGTGCTTCCGTCTGTTTTACGTGACCAATATACTGCACTATCATTGGAGGTAGTTTTGGTCACGTGATACGGACAAATATCTTACATATATAAGTATTGGTATAATTTGGACACAGTTTTATGTCTATTTCTCGAGACAGGAACATCAGATAAATGTCTTATAGGAATCCTCCGACTCCTGAGATTCTCAGGTTTCATATTATACCCCCTTTCATTTTTCCTTTACAGTCCCTTTAAGAAGAATCTATTATAATTTTAATGTTTTCTAAATATTGACAAAAATAAGATAATAATAATATTATTATTCATCTTATGAATATCAATTAATGCTGGTACAAATTAACGTGGATTTTCCTATCAAAATCTAATTTTTAAGCTCAGTTTTTTCTGTAAAAACTACAATTGCATTTTATTTTCATTAATAGTTTCTATTGCTAGATTTTATCTATATAATATATTTATATTTATATGGAACTATGTGTCCGAGCTAGGGAGCCTAATCAATTAATCAACTAATCAACTAATCAATTAATCAACTAATCAACTAATCAACTAATCAACTAATCAACTAATCAACTAATCAACTAATCACCTAATCAACTAATCAACTAATCAACTAATCAACTAATCAACTAATCAACTAGCCAGCTAATCAACTAATCAACTAATCAACTAATCAACTAATCAACTAATCAACTAATCACCTAATCACCGACGCCCCGCTTAAGTATCAACACAAATGTATTAAAAGAGAGGAAGATGAGAAGGTCTAATCTGGTTTCAGAATCCGACACAACTGAATTGCGGATTTTATATTTCTATCTCCAGGATTTTCATCCTCTACAATATCTACAATACAAGAGATTCCAGTTCTAATCCTTAAATCAGTTACCTTTTGTATTCTCCTGGGCCGGAACCAGAATGTTTACTTTTAAGCTTCCCAAGAATTTTACCTTAATTTTTTTTTTAAATGCTTGCTTGTTATATAGAAACTTATCTTTGCTGAAAGGGACTGTAACCATTATTTTAAGTGAACCTCAGTGCAAAGATGTCAATGCCCGATTCACAACGATACTCTTAAAAGCTTTGTCTGATCAATTATGAATTAAATATCAATGTTTATAATTTTAATAACTGGTTATCTTCAGTTTTGGTTTCTCTATTTGTGCATTCCACTGCAGGAAAACATTAAGGAATTATCAAACTATGCATGTTTAATAAACGACAATATCTTCCACATTATTGATCAGATAAAGGTTTCTAGGGTACCCTTGTGAATCAGGTATTGCAATATTAGCTGAAAGAATCAATTGAAATTACGCTTACAGTTCCTTAAAAATATAAATAGTAATAAATTTAATTAAATTAAACTTAATTTAATTTAATTTAATTTAATTTAATTCAATTTAATTGAATTCAATTTAATTTAAATTAATTTAATTTGATTTTATTTAATTTAATTTAATTTAGTTTAATTTAATCACCTAGATTCTGATGGTCGATTTCTGGAAACCATAACTTCAGGATGTGATGCCCAAACTAAAAAGAAAATTTAATTTAAAAAACAATTCAAATATTCAAGTTTTCAAAGTTGTTTATTCTGAACATGCAAACATGTTCACATACACTATGCCAAAGCTGGACCCTTCAGAGAAAATATCTACAAAAAGCAAACCTTTTTATAATAAAATAAACATTTTAAAGTTTAATAAAAGCAAACTTTTACAGAATACAGTTTTAAATGTTGAAAGTTTTGTTAAAAGTTTAATAAATGAACCTCTACCCTCGGTCCTTGGATGATTAATATGTGCTTTGTGAATATTAAAGGGATTGTACGCGTGATTTTAAGTGACCCTCCATGCAAGCATGATTCAAACTAATATCCTTGAAAGCTTTATCTGATCAATAATTGGGAAATTTTGATAATTCATGTATTTATTCCTGCAGTAGAAATGCGCAAGTTCCTTTTATAGAGAAACCACAATTAAAAATCCGTTTACAAAAATAAAAACAGAACTTTAAAGGGTACCGGCCGTTGTGAATCAGACATTGCCATCTTTTCAAGGAAGGTCACTTGAGATTACGCATACAATCCCTTTAAAGTTATAATAATAAGATTTTCACCTTTTCGTCTGATTTGGGATTATTTTGTTCTGAGATAAGCTTTATCTGTGAGTTCAATTCTTCCAGTTTTCCAAATCTACCACTAATATAAAAGGAACTGAGTCTTTGCCACAAACTCGAATTTTCTAATTCCTATATCTTTGCAACCTAATATAATGCAGACCTTTGATATTTCAAAGTTAAACTTTTTCATAAAGTAGAAATCATAGTTTGAAATAGTGTTAGTGGCAAGGGCTCAATTGGGCTCAATTCTCTAGCGTGAGTCAGAATTGTGAATCTCGGGATCAAGCATCTTTTGCCGATATCGTCAGGTTAATTGAACATTGGATATTTAAGATCAAGCGTCAAGATTGACAATATTCCGACATGAAGTGTTCGATCTGAAAATTATGCATTAGTTTCAAATTAACCCAATCTTCATTAAATTTTAGCAATGGGTCGAATATCTACTATCACATTTTGTGTTCTACAATTTTAGTTTAGCTGAAGGGCCCGTGGAAAAAAAGACAAAAAAATATTTAAAAAAAAAATTAAAATAAAAAGTTCGATTTTTTTAGCCCAGGCTACCCATGAGTGTACACTAGAAATTTTAGTCATTCGGTCCAGCCGTTTGGCCGGCTAAAGGGGTCATATATATACAAATGTCTTGTTTTATTATATAGATGAAAAAGTGCCGTGGTTTTTTTGGTGAAAAGTAGAAGGATGAAACAAATTACTTTATTATAATTGTTATTTTTTATATTTTTATATTAGAAATATTTTATAATGCCAAAACTAGATTTTTAAATTTTAGGAACAAAATTAAAGGATTAGAACAGGAATTTAGGAACAATTAAAAGATTGTTCAGGAATTAGGAACAAAAATAAAGGATTAGGACAGGGATTTAGGAACATTAAACAGATTGTTCAGGAATTAGGAACAAAAATATAGGATTAGGACAGGGATTTAAGGTGGGTCGGACACAGGAACAGGAACAATAATAGGAACATTAGCAATTTAAGAACAAAAAGAAATTACTAGCTATACTTAAATGCATGAAAATTAGGAACAATATTACAATTTTGATAAATGAGTATTGATTAAGGAACATTGCTAGATATGAACAATATTATAACTTAAGTCTAGTTTCTTACAAATTTCTGATTCTAAATTTATCGTTAACAATAACATTTATCAAATTGGGAACATTTTTTGCCTCAAAATCTCAGGGGGGGAATGTCCCCCCCCCCCCCCCCCTTGTATCCGACCCTGTACAATGCCTTTATAAATATTGTAAAATTGATTTTTATTTTTATACCACTGTGCTTACCTGATAAACTGAATTAGGTCTAAGTACCCAATATCCCCCTCTGTATACTTGACAAATGTCAGGAAGATAATGTCATCTTGGAACCTTTCTTTATTCCTGCACAATGCACAGTGGTCAATTAAAGGGACTGTAAGCGTATTTTTAAGTGACCCTCCATGTAAAGATGGCAATACCTGATTCACAACAATACTCTCCAAACCTAAATCTGATAAAAATGTGGACGATATAGCCTTTTTTCTGACTCGTAAAGTGTTAAATAAGAAATGTGCAAGTCAAATTTTCGCAGAGAAACCACAAATGAAAATAAATAGTTTAACGAATTAGCAAAACTGATTTTAAATTCATACTTGACCAGATTAAGGTTTCAAGGGTACCGTTGTAAATCAGGCATTGCAATCTTTTCATGGAGGGTCTCTTCACGTGGAATTAACGGTTCTGTCAATATTCCAGAAAGCTGTGCCTTTCAATCACAATTTGTCCTATTAAACATAATTTTTAGCCTTTTGTCTTAAATACTTTTTTGTCGGCATATGCATTTTGAATGAAAAGTATAGAATATACTAATTCGTAAGGTGAAAGATTGTTAAATTATAAACCAAAACACGTTTGATTTAAAATGGAAGAAATCAAATGCTGCTCACTCTGGTTAATCCGGGGTGTCTTGAGTTTTGAAATTATTTTTACAGTTCCTTTTGAAGTGACGCAACTCCTTGGCCTTTTATTAATGTCCTTAACTCATTTATACTTCTTTTTGTAGCCACAAACATGTAGATTTAAAACTAAAAAGGACTCGTTTCTAGTTTTAGTAAAAAGGAAATAATCTTAAAATGGTGAAAGAAGAGCTTGCATTCTTTGAATCACAATGAAACGAAGAAAGGGCTAAATCGGTCGGGCCCAAATTTTGTGAAGGACCTCACATGACCCCAGGAAAGGTTTATAAAGGTTAAATATAAAGAGTTAGAATAGAAGATGAGCGCGAAGCGCACTAGAAGCCTAGTATCACAAATATAAATACATAATACATATAGAATAAAGATATATATAGTCTTTAAATTATATGTATATATATACTAGCTGAAGGGTCCGGCATTGCCCGTGGAAAAAAGTTAAAAAAATGTTTGTAACAATTCTGAAATTTTTTAAGCCTAAAACGCCATCCATGAATGTTCACAAAAAATGTCAGCCCATTCGGTCCAGCCGTTTGGCCGGCTATAGGCAACATATATATAAACGAATGTCTCGTTTTATTTTATAGAAGATGTACCGGGTTTCAAGATCCACTTCGCTCTCCTCTAGTCTGGTAAAAAAATCATCACTTAGAGGTCGTCTTTTCCTCCGTTCTTTAATCTGGGGGAAAAAGAGAATTATTATGGTTGATTAGAATTCTTTGCAACTCCATGTCGTAGACCTTAGATATTTCAAACTATGAAATCTAAGTTTAAAATTTCAAAGGTTTACACCATCAGGTTGCAAAGAGCGATTAGAACATTTGAGTTCGTGGCAACAATTCTTTATACCTTGTATTTTTGAGAATACTGATTTGGTAGATAAGCTCTGCTACTTGTTAGAATTTCAAAGATTTCACTGCTCGACATTCTGGTCTTTCCTGATTAGACAATATTCAAAATATATTGGATTGGAATTCATTTTTCATATTTCTATTTACCGTCTAAGGAAGAGAATGGAATACCAAGAAATTCACAGATATCTCGAGTTTGATCTGAAAAATTAAATATTCTAAGAGACTGTAAGCGTAATTTAAGTGACCATCCATCCAGAGATGGCAATGCCCGATTCACAACGCTATCCGTAAAAGCTTTGTCTGATCAAGTATTAAAACATAAAAGAATTATCAGAGGTAAACTCCTTTAAACCTAGAAAAACGACAATATCAAGGTTCAAGGGTACCGTTGTGAATCGGTCATTGCCCTATAAGCATTGAGGATCACTTGCGGAATGACTTTACATGAGCCAAGAGGTAAAGTTTATAAAGGGTTAGAATTCTTTAAAATCCACAAAAAATTTTTTAAAAAATACCACCCCCCCTCGCAGATAGAGCAACAATTAAAAGTTTGAATCGAAGATATAATATAGTCTATTTCAAGTGTAGTATCTCGAATAATGGTGGGATAAAATACCTGAACAGATAAAGTCTGATTTAAAAGTTCCAATTCCAGAGAGCTTGTTTATTTGCAACCTTAATCAGTCAGAAAATAAATAAAAGATTTAATCAAAATATTTTTTGTACACATCTTATTAATCTCCCTGGTGTTCTGTTTGGTTTACCGTCCCGTTATACCGTCAGCAGTCAGCATTTCATACTGTACAACTTGCTCTAGCTGCAAACGGTACAGTACTTCAATAGTACCGTCCCGTTATACCGTCAGCAGTCAGCATTTCATACTGTGCAATTTGCTCTAGCTGCAAACGGTACAGTACTTCAATAGTACTGTACAACTTGCTCTAGCTGCAAACGGTACAGTACTTCAATAGAACGGTACAGTACTTCAATAGAACGGTACAGTACTTCAATAGAACGGTACAGTACTTCAATAGAACGGTACAGTACTTCAATAGTACTGTACAACTTGCTTTAGCTGCAAACGGTACAGTACTTCAATAGTACTGAAGTTATAAGAGACATGAATTTGTTTCAGCAATACTAGATTTAATTCAAAATGGCTGCTGTAGACTTTTTCATCAGCTTTTTCTAAAATAGAAGCATTTTATTTTTTTTTTATTGCTGAAAGGCAAAGAGCTATCAAAACTGATTTTAAAAAAAAGAAATTGTGAAATTTTTCATGTTATTGTACAGTTTATCCAGGTTCTTCAATAACAACAAAAGAATTTATAAAATGTTATCGACAATTTTTCAATGGGTTTTATAAATCTCACTTTTTGTAAAAATAAATAAAGAGCTATGAATATGGGGGAACAGTTTTAAAGAGCTCCAAATAATTATTCATTTAAAACTTTAAATCTGCGGCATTCCCGTATCAGTAAGATAAAAATACGACATTTTATAATTATTTCGATGTCTGCAAAGTACATGGTTTAAACTGTCTTCAACCATGTTTACCTAATAGCTAATCCCTTTTCACTCCATTTCATTTCTAAACAGTAAACAATCAAGAATTAATCAAAATAAATATTTTAAATTGTAAATAATTAACATATTGCTTTTTGAAGTTATTAGTCTGTAAGTCAGATTAAATCAAAAGAACTTGTAGAAAATAGATCCGGATTGGTATGAAAAGTAAAAAAATTTTTCAAGACTGGGATTATTTTAAAGTGTCGAAATTTCCCCTTACTAACTCACTTATAATGTACAGTTGTTGACTTTAAAAGTCACTATAATAAAATAAAATGGATATTTCTAACATTTATTTAATAAAAACGAAAGTTTTGAAATATTTTCCCAAGAATGGGTTAAAATTGGTTGGTTTAGAAATTAACAAAGGAATTAATGATGAATATTTGAGGATACTTCATGGGAGTGATGTAGAGCTTCATGTTGGTGGAGCAGATCAACAGGAACTGGAACAACAGGGCTTATCCAACCTAGTAGGCAGAGATCGCGGTTTTATCATGACGCGATTGAGCGATTATGTTGTCTCTGGGATGCATGATAAACTGGGAACCCTTCGGGTAAGCACGTCTGTTGCTAGCTGAGTATCTGCGTCATCATCATAAAGGAGTCAAGAGGCTCCCTGTGTCGGAGCTGTTACTAGCTCAACTCTCCTAACCTGACTGATTGAGGGCTGGGCTGTGTAGAGGGTGAGGGGGGAACGGAGGAGCGAGGGTTACATTTCATGGCGGAAATGGATCGTGTGTATACACACGTCTTGAGAAAAGTTGACGGCAATTGAGTCGGTAAAATCTTCTTCCTTATATTTCGAATTTGTTTTAACAACAGTGTATACTTTTTGGAGCCCTGTACATTTTTTATAAAGCTTTTATTTTAATATACATGTAATATGCTATTTATATATTTAAGTGACCACTATGAGCCAAATTTTCATGCAAAGAGTATAATTTGATTAAAGTTTACAATAAACTACTCGTTATTCAAGCTTAATTATAATTGACGACATCTTTCTGCAATTTCCTTGACTGTAGTCATGTTGTGTGTCTGTACCAAAAGAGTGTGTGTATGTGATAACGAACTTGTCTCCAAAGCAGTGCGACTGGCTTTCTCATGCCAGACCAGTGCCATTTCCCTTCCCTTAAGTCTTATTTCCCGCTTGTTTAACCTTTAGATAACCGTGACAGTATAAAACACCAGCTACTAACCTAACGGTGTAAGAAGATGGCCCAGCAGTGCCCCAAAATCATTGTTGGATTTGAAAGCTGAAAGAGTTTCAACATGTTCCGGGCTACAGAATAATAAGTCAACCTAGAAGATTGCACGATAAACTGAAGTAAGACTGAAGCTTGTTTAATATCATACCTCCTCTTTCAAGAAGCTTTTAAGGAGAAAAACATGTTTTGAATTTCTTTAGATGTAACCGAAAAAGGAATTGAGTCTTTGCCACAAACTCTGATTTTCCAATATCTACTTCTTTGCAACCCAATGTCGTAGACCTTAGAAATTTCAAACATATATAGATTCTGCAGTTGACTCAAATAATCCAAGTTTGAAATATCAAAGGTATACACCATCAGGTTGATAAGTTATAAGAATTAGAAAATTTGAGGTTGTGGCAAAGACTCAATTCCTCAGCTTTTCTCATACATCTGTGTACAATCAAAATTAGAGGAACTGCGAGGTCAGAAAGTCTTGCAAGTAATAAGATGGCTCTCTCCTGTATCACGTGCAGCCGTAGTACATTTGAATTTCCGAGCCGGGTCAACCTTCCCGGTCCCAGTTTGTACTGTATCACCCGGACATTGGGTAAATAAAGCAGACACTCAATAGGACTAGCTGGTGCAACAAGGTTGACGTGGTCAGACTTTAGGTTGAATTTACTTTTACTGAAGGGTCAGAGGTGCGTGGTATATCTATAGCTTTCAGTGATTGTAGCTTTGAAATATTACCACTGATAAACATGCAATTCGTTTTACTGGGTGTTACCTAGTAAACATGATAATTAAAAGACAATTTATAGATAGATTTATTTTGGATTGCATGTCTAATAATAAAGAAAAATATTGCAATATAGATTTTCAAAATTACAAAGATATTCACTGTTTAATTATTATTAATTTAATTTAAATTCTATTCGATCACCGATATATGTTTAGTTACAAAAATTGGACTGGATGGGTTTAGCGTTTTGATGTTTATTGGAAACAAACAGACAAATAAACAGACAGACAAGCAAAGTATATAGATTACCTGATAACGTTCTTTAGTTAGAAAGCTGATAGTTTTATCATTGCAAAGAAGGTCACTGGAACTCTCTAACAGATCACTATACAAAATTGATCCCACGTTAAAGGGAGTGTTCGCGAAAAATGAAAGGGGGTATAGGCTTACGTCGAAAAATATTCAATGGTGATCGCTACTGATCTTACTTCTATCTGTTGCGTCTATAAGGAGATAATTGTTGAAAATGACTGATGCTGAAGAAAGTAGCGTCCATACTAATTCAGAAAGTTGCAAAATTTGATCCGGATCGTAAAATAATCAATTTAATTCCAAACTAATCATTTAGATATTACAACCTATAATCATCGACTTTTTTCGACGCATTTGTATATATAGTTCTTATTTAATAATATTTTTTTTTTTTTTATTATTCAAGAGTTAATTTTTAAAACGTTCATTCCTTTTTCAAGGATTTTTGATAATAAAGACGACATTTTCATATTTTTCAGGAATGTTCGAAAATCCAGTGCCAGACGTTAAAACAAGTAGTAAGCGAAATATTAATTTTAAAATATCTGAATGATTTGTTTGGAATTAAATTGATTTTTTACAATCCGAGTCGAATTTTGCAACTGAATTTGTAACGCTATGCTATGTTCTTCGGTATGAGTCGTTTTAAACAAGCTTCACCTTATAGACGCAGCATATAGAAGTAAGATTAGTAGAAATCACCGTCGATTATTTTTCTAGGGTGGTGAGCCTATACCCCTTTCAAGTTTAATTTTTCGCGAACACTTCAATCATAACTCCACTTTCTAAAGAGCTTTTGAAAAAAAATGAAATGATTTGAATTTCTTACATGTAATCCTACTGTTTAATTTGATAAATTGATAAAAATTGAGTAATTGTTGAAATCTTCTTTAAACCCTTTTGACATAAATTAAACACATTATGTTGAAACTAATTGTAGTTTACATTACATAGATTGAACATTTTCGAGTTTAAATTACGTTAGCTAAATTTTTAAAAAATATTCTCAAGTAAATACATTTCGAATTATTCACCTTATACCACTGGCAATTTTCATCCTATCAGTCCCCTCTACACAGTAAATTATTTATTTCAGATTTTTGCACGATTCTTCAAATTTAAAATTGGTTTCTCACAATAAAATTCATAGGCCGAGTATACAAGCATCTCCTGAACCAACATGTTTTTAAAAATTGGGTTGTGAGCGTAGTTGTGAGTGACCCTCCATGTAAAAATGAAGCTGTTCAATTCCTTGTGCCCTTAAAAGCGTTGTTTGATCTACAGTATGAATAAAGATAGCAATTTTAATAATTTTGTAAACTGATTATTTTTAACTAAAAATTATCAGAACTAAAAACAAACCTAGAAAAACGACAATACACATCATTGAAAACAGATTAAGGTTTCAATGGTACCGTTGTAAATCCGGCATTACCATCAGTACATGGAGGGTCACTTGAAATTACGCTTACATATACAGGGTTACCCACAAAGGATGAGAGTGTAAAGACGACTAGAAACTCTTCAAATGACATTAAGAGTTCTGCCTTAAATGGTTTATAAAATGAATTAGCAAAGAAAGAAAAAAGCTTATTTGCATGAAATCATGAATTATAAGGAGACAGACAGAAAAAAATCCGTACAGTCGTCTTTGAAGTCTTATTTTTTTCGTTTAACCCTGTATATACATAGCAGTTCCTTGAGTACGATCAGAAATATTAAAGGTCAGCAAATGGCTAAAATAAATCTATAAATAGTTCCTTGATTTCCAACTATCACATCAACATCACCATATGGTCTAAAAGTCTAAAAATCGTCAAACACTGAAAAAAATGAAATAAATTCGTGCAGAAAACAATGATTAAAGAACTATTGGGATTTGGGGGTACATATCAAGTTCAATATGCATGATTCGTTCTAAAATTCATTATTTTTTCTAATTATGTCATTTACTTTTTTTACTGGCTTACACTAATATGTCTCTGATAAAGGAGAATGATGATTTAAACAAAATTATCATGTAATAAACAGAGATTATTATGAAGACGATCTATTCCTGGATTTCCCGCGTTTTCTGCACAGGTCGTCTTTGTCTGATATCTCAACAGGGATTGCAACCTTGCAATCAATATCGGACAAATAGGCACTTCATTAAAATGGCAAAATTAAATAAACTTGTGAAAATTCTCAAAGACTTGTTCAAGACTTGTTCACTTTTCAAGTTTTGTAAATAAAATGACTGTAAGCTTAATTTCAAGTGACCCTTCCTGCAAAAATGCCAATGCCCGATGTACAACAGTACTATTGAAACAATAATCTGATAAAAGAATAGGAAGATAAGGTCATATGTCTGACCTGATAAGTTTTCAATTCTGATAATCTCTCCATAGTTTTTTATTAATAAATCATGCAAGAAATGCGCAAACTACAAATAAAAAGAAATTGTAAAAAAACATGAAAATATAAATAATTCAAACTCGATTAGAAAAGCCTTAAAGGGTACAGTTGTGGATCAGGCAGTGCCATGTGTGCATGAAGGGTCACTTGAAAATTTCCCTTACAGTCCCTTTAAATTAAAAAATCATATTTGCCATTTTCCCTGATCATTTGCGTAATTCTGGCATATTCCGCCTCGTCCAGTCTTTCTGTGTTTGGAAAAGCGTCTCCACCCATTTTTTTCTTCTAAAACCAACATTTACGTAAAGGGCGTGAAGGGTAACGTGAAAATAGAAAACGAATAAAATGTCGTCTTTGTTTTTTGAAATTCAGTCGCAAGCCTACTTTAACATTTGAAATATTTTTCATAAAATTTCACTAGCATTTCAAACATATTTAATATCTCTGGTAATACTTACAGCCCGAAAAAGGCAGACCGTCGTTTGTGTGCTGTCAATATTACAGGAGATATTAAGAATTTCGTTTATATTTCAATTATGAATGAAAACCAAAATTCTCGAAATCTTAAAAAAAAATTTTATGATTCTTATAGAATTGAGTATAACAAACTTTGATTCTTTAACCCCTTTAAATTTGAAACCCAATGACGCAGACCTTAGAAATTTCAAACTATGAATTCTGATCAAATAATTATAAGATGGAAAAATTAAAAGTTTGCCAAAAAATATAAGAATTAGAAAATAATAAATTGTCACAAATAAATAAAATAAAGATAAAAATAAAAAAGTTATTAAAAACAACCCAAAAATACCGTATAAGCTTTCGCAGAAAAGGCAAAAATATTTTTTAGATCTACAAATTTCTGAACCAAAAAGTCCGACCTTTTTTTGGGACTTGGCTATAATAATACTTTTTGGGACTTGACTATAATGGGACTTTTTGGGACTTGACTATAATGGGACTTTTTGGGACTTGACTATATTGGGACTTTTTGGAACTTGACTATAAAGGGACTTTTTGGGATTTTACTATAATGGGCAACTTCGTTGCAAGCGGAACAGAACTAAAAATGTACTTTAATTGTTTTTAATCTTTTATTATTTTAGATTTTACATTTTTAAAAATATTTGTTTTCTTACATTTAAAGATTTATGTGAGATAGATGCATAAATTTATTAAAATAGCAGATAGAACACTAGATGTCGTCTTTTAAATATTTATGCGTTTTTTGTTCACAATAACCCTGAGGCAGAAGCCCTAAGGAGTTACGCGTAGTCCGCGTAGAACAGGCTCTCTCTCTGTAGAATTGCAAGACAGAGAAAGGGCATATTCCACGCCGACTACGCGTAACTCCTTTGGGCTTCTGCATCAGGATTATTGTGAACGAAAAACACATACATTTTGAAAAGACGACATCTAGTGTCCCATCAGTTATTTTAATTAATCAATGCATGGATGTATATAAAAAATGCTCAAAATTCTGTCAATTTTTCTATAAAAGGGTTAATTACCATAAAAAGTAAAATGCAATTGAAATCTAAAATGTTTTGTACAGACAATCTTAGACATAAAAACAATTTTAAACATTTGTAAGAATCAGCTACCATAATTGATTTGAATCTTTTACCGAACAACTAGAAATATAAAAATCTGCTTTTTTGTTTTATTTAACTATTCACTTAAAGCTTTGTGAATATGTTTTAAATGTATCTTCCCTTTAATTTACTTCATCGTATGCAATATTTAAGTGACCGGTCAACTTCACAACGATCCCCTTGAAACCTTCATCTGATCAATAATGTGAAACATATTCTAGATTTTCTAGGTTTAAAAGTGTTTAATTCTGAAAATTGCTTTTCTGCTGAAGCAATACGCAATTAATTTTTGTAGGAAAATAACATTGAAAATAATTTTCTAAATTACGCACATTGAAATTCATATCTCGATGTAAATATTTGCATGGAGGGTTAAACTTAAAATCACGTTTAATTGTTGGTCGCTGTATCACTTAATAGAAGAACTATGAAGCTGTTTAAGAATTAATTGAAATATATAACGTTGGTATTCAAGTATTGCACAATATTGAGGCAGTTCAAGCCTTATCTATTACTCACCGTGTGTGTAATGTGTTTATTTTTCTACCTGACTGCAGCTTGCCAGGCTGCTAGAAAGAGGGAGGGGGGGCCATGCGGCCATGAACCCCACAATTGCCTGTTCGAACACAGGTAGTTTGCAGAACCCTGTTCGAACCCCGCAGAAGCCTGCTCCAACCCCGCGAAAGCCTGTTCCAACCCCGCCAATGAGGACTTAAAACCTCCTGAAATCAATGGATTACACTTGTCCATGGGGGCTTAGCCCCTTATAGACCCCCCCTGAATACGCCCCTGACAGTAATCTTATATAATGATTTAGCAAAGAAAGAAACAAGTTTTCAGTTGCAGGGTTAATCGTGAATATATGGAAACAGACAAAAAATCCGAAGTCTCAACTTTTGTGGGTAACCCTGTATATACACTGATAATTAAGATTTCTTTTTCAATGTTACGCCTACAATGTCCTAGTTACTACTTTGTAGGGCTGGACACTAAGGATGTTTATTGTCTACGATTGTTTAATATGAATAAATATGGTACAAACAATGTGAAATTTCATATTGCATTTAGGTTTCAATTGGCTTTGAATGTTTTTACTGTTTAACCTTCAGAACTTTGGAGAATCGAAAGAATTTATAGAATGTCGTCTTGACAAAATTTTCAATGGGTTTTATTTTATGCTATTATACCTAAATCTCAGTAATTGTAAAAATAAATGAATAGCCATAAAATATGCGGAAATAGTTTTAAACAGAGCTCTATATAATTATTCAATTAAAAAACTAAATATCTGCAGCAGTTTAAGATCAGTAGGTTAAGAAGACGACATTTTATCAATTCTGTCGATGTCTCCTAAGTTCTGGGTTAAACTAAATTTTTAATAAAAAAAGTCTGCAATTGGGTTTAGTAAAATTATCTTGGCTTTGAAATTGTTTAGTTTTAGAGTCAAAAATATAATAAATTTAAATGGAGACCATATGGACCAATGAAAATATACAGGGTGTTCCACGAAACATGACAGTTTGTGAATATTTGAATATCTTCTTTCATATAATTTATTGGATATTAAAGACTTTTTGCAGTTTATTTCGTTAAAAAAATTTTCCTCAAACGTATTTTTAAATCAATTTTAGTCTACAGTGTGTCTCAAAAAACACGGGAATTCAGTGACGAATTCGATATCGTCTTTTTAAATAATTCTTTGATTTAGTATAGTGATACCTAATGAGAAAGCTGTAATCTGTAAGAGTTTCGTCTGCTATGTTTACAATTTGTTTGTTTATGTTTTAACTGCATACGGTTGTACTGAGTAAAACAAGAAAATTGCAGTATACAAACAGAGTAAACTTGTCCGTCTTCACTATTCATCTTGCGGAGACATTATAGACACATCTTTTCAGTCTTTTACCGTTTTCATAAAATAAACTCTAGCAGACATAATAATATTATTTCTTTTGAAATTAGGTATTACAATGCTAATTCATAACAAAGTCGATATCGAAATTCGTCACTGAATTCCCATGTTTTTTGGGACACCCTGTAATATAATATTGTCATACAATATTTTTTATCATTCTCTTTTTAATATTTAACAACTTGGGTAATTATTGAAGAAGACATTTTAAACTATTCATCAAGTGTCATGTTTCGTGGGACACCCTGTAGCTCGCGGTATTTTTTCCAATTGCAATGTGTACAGTGAGCAATGAGCATTGATCTAAAGTTTAGGACATTTAGTCGGTCCTGAACTTGAATTCTCTCAAGACGACATTCAAAGCAGGTTTTTATTTGATTCTGAATTTCTTCACTTAGTTATAACTAGGGCTGGGGACGTTCCGACTTTTTTGAAATCGTTCCGTTCCGTTCTAGAACAAGGGCCTTAAGCTAAATCGTTCCGTTGATCGTTCCCTTTTTTGTATCGTTCCGTTCCGTCCCGTTCTGAGTAGAAGAACGGTCTTGCCGTTCCGTTCCGTTCTTGGCGTTCTTATTTAAGAACGGTTCCATCCCTCTCGTTCCGTTTTTAGTCAAAAAACGTTTCCATCCCCCCGTTCCGCGTTCTTTGTATAGAACGAAATTACTAAAACCGGGTAACCTTTACAAAGGAGGTGTACAAATTGTTTGATTTTTGAAAAATATTTAATTTTCATAATCAATATTTCAATAATATCAAAAAGAAATAGAAATAAATTATAGAAAACAATATTTCTTTCAACCTAAATTCTCCCCCCCCCCCCCTTCTCCTTTTTCCCATTTCAGCTCCCGTTCCTTTAATGTAATGCATTAATAAATCCTTGCCATTCATTTGGTCTGTGCACACTACACAATCGCTGTGCGTCATGTTCAATATTTCTCCTATATTATTGTGTCTAATGTCATTTACAATAATTCTATCTTTCAATTTTAGTTCACTACATAACAGAGCAAATCTGAACTGGAAACACATTCCTTATTTAAACTGCGTTCCAAACATGTATCGAAAATATGTACATACAAGTAGAGATAACATATTGAAAATGTATTGTAATTTGTATTCTTACTTTATAGCATAAATTTACATATATACGTAGAGAAAAAATGGTGTATTCTATCTTTATATCGTAACTATATTTATTATATATACCTATAGATATAAATATTGCCGTCTAACTCAATTGAATATATACAGATAAAGAAGAGAAAATAGATCTTATGTAATCCTAGTTCTTAATTTGGCCGCTAGGCGCCGCATTATTTTGTTTTAGATTGTGCAGTGAGCAGGTATACACACGCCGGAAATGATGAAATTTAAAATTTTACCATTTTTCTAAATAGGTCAATAAAATTCGGTAAAGCTGACTTTCTGGGCAGTAATTTTTTTTTCAAAAGTTCAATTCATGAAATAATAATTACCTTTTAAGCTTTAAGTTGTTGTCTATTACACGTTACAAGTCAACAATTTTGTTTATGCTAACAAATCTTTCTGGAGGCTAGAATTAAGAACCGGCTGATGTTATACTATTACTCCTGTTTGATGTGTAGTAAGTACAATTCAAACTTCAGATTTAATCTTAATATTGTACATTTCATGATATAAAAGGGGTATATGTAATTCGTTGTAATGTGAACCCGGAGCATGGGCCAGGAAAGTCATAGTCAGTCCCAAAATATACCCGCTTCAACTGTTGTAAACTATAATTTCTGCTATTTTTACCTCTAAAAGTAGAACCACTCAGTTTAGAATCTCAAAACCAAGCTAGGAACATTCCCGTGGGTCTCCCGAGTTCCCCAATCAAAATCTGAAGCAAATCAGTTATGAACGGTAAAACAAACACCCAAACAGATAAACAGTGGTTACAACTTATATTTATAATTGTATATTATAAATATATTCTTGTATACGAAAATTATATATATATTGTATTCTATTCTAAATATATACTTAGAGATAAATGTTATATACTTTCATTTTATCGTGAATATATTGATTATTTATGTATAGATAATATTGTGAACAAACATATAAGAGAAAATGTTTTATGTAATTCTAGTTCTTAATTTGGCCGCTAGGCGCCGCATTATTTTGTTTTAGATTGTGCACTGAGCAGGTACACACACGCGGGAAATAATTAAATTTATAATTTTATAATTTTTCTAAATAGTTCAATAAAATTCGGTAAATCTGACTTTCTCGGCAGTAATTTTTTTCAAAAGTTCAATTCATGAAATAATAATTATCTTTTAGATTCTAAGTTGTTAAGTGTATGAGTTACAATAAGATGTTTTGAAAAGTAAGACTATTATTAATAATTCTTTATTGAGGCTTGTGTATAACACCGGCTTACAAGGAATGATGACGGTTCGGTGTCAGTCAATTGTAATTGACTATCAAAAATAAATATAATCTTCATACTTATAGAGATGTAATCTTTATTTTGTACATTTCATAATAAATATGTTGAATATGTCATGCGTTGTATTCAAGCTTTATATTGTGAGAAAATTTATAAATATATACGTGTACTATAGCTTGTGAACCCAGCATGCGTTGTATTCAAGCTTTATATTGTGAGTAAATGTATAAATATATACGTGTACTAGCTTGTGAACCCAGCATGCGTTGTATTCAAGCTTTATTTCGTGAGTAAATGTATTGTACTAGCTTGTGAACCCAGCATCCGTTGTATTCAAGCTTTATATTGTGAGTAAATGTATGAATATATACGTGTACTATAAGCTTGTGAACCCATGCATGCGTTGTATTCAAACTTTATATTGTGAGTAAATGTATGAATATATACGTGTACTAGCTTGTGAACCCATGGATGCGTTGTATTCACGTTTTTTATTGTGAGTAAATGTATAAATATATACGTGTACTAGCTTGTGAACCAGCATGGCCCAGGAAAGTTATAGTTATTCCCATAATATACCCGCCTCAATTGTCGTAAACTATAATTTCAGCTATTTTTTTCAAATGTTTGAGGATTTAAGACAGGTGGGGGTAAAAAAAAACAATTCTCGCGAGGCAGAATTGCTTTTTAATTACCAAAAATGATATCTAAGCGAAACAATATAATAATTTAACATAACATATCAATCATGTTAGACTAAGGAAGGGAGAATTATTTTTATTTTTCTGCTATTATTCTTTCTCTTTTAGTAAGATGAATGCTTCTTAAATCAAGTTTTCTTGCAGGAGACTGCAAGAAGTTTCTATGTTAATTTTAGAGTTAAACATAAAAGTATACCATAAGAAGGCTGAAAGTAAATAAAAAAAATCCTCCCTTCTCCTAGTCTACGATAAACTAGTTTGCTTGGGCCTCTAGACATGAATGAATTGAAAACACTAATGGTCTGAAATTGAGGCAAGCCTCTTGGGATG